GACCCCCATATAACCTGCGCAAGCGCTCCTCCTTGGACAGACGGGAGGTGTCCACTTGCATAGGCTCAGCGACCGAAGCTTCAGGTTTCACTGGTTTGGGTGATGGACAGGTCCGTTGTGTGGTATGGAGTGCAGCAAGGCGATGTACCTGGTGTTTTGAACTCTGTTTTAACTGATCCAGACGAATAGCGAGCGCAATGAGAGCGTCCAATGATAGTCCATCATCCTTACAAGCGAGTTCCGTTAGAATCTCCGAATTTAGGCCCTTACGAAAAGTCACAATAAGTGCAGGCTCATTCCAGCCACTCCCGGCTGCTAAGGTCCTAAATTCTAAAGAATAATCTGCTACAGAACATGAACCCTGGCGAATGCGAGATAATAATTCCCCCTGGGAACGACCATCGTGAGGATGATCAAAAACAGCCCTGAAGCTCTGTAAAAAATCTGCATAGGAGCTATGCTCCATAGAAGGCCAGATAGCAGTGGCCCAGTCTAAAGCCTTACCAGTGAGTCTGGAAATCAAAAAAGCAATTCGTCGGTTGTCAGAACTAGCTGGAGAGTTTGAAAAATATAATGAGCACTGTAGTAAGAAACCCTTACACAAATTAGGGCTCCCGTCGTATTTATCGGGTTTGCTCACTGGAAAATGATCATCCGAGTTGGGAGCTAATGCCGGAGCTGTACTGTTCATTATAGGAGTCGAGGAGATCAAGGGTTTAGTCCCCAACTGACTTAACTGGGAGGACAGGGATTTAATATCAGCAGAAATTTGCAGTAGCTGATCGTGTTGTTCTAATTGCTGGTGAGTAAGCTTACCCACAGTCCCAGACAGTGACTCAAACAGCTGATTATGTTGAGCTAACAACTGACCTTGGTTGTTGACGGTACTGTGAAGTTCTCTCAGATCCGCCATCTTGGTTGTTCAGGCGAGGTATTCTGTAATGCTGCACAAACACAGAAAGACGCTCGCGGATCTTAAAAAGGAAATGGTTTAATGAGAGACAGTATAAGGGCAAATCCAAAAATCGGAATCCAAAAAGCCTTGCCAAAGTCGAAAACCAGAGGACACAAAAATGCACAAACAACCAGAGCAAAAGGGCAAACACAAAAACGCAATATCCAGAAACAGGCAAAGGGTCTGATACACAAGATTAGAAAAACAGTCAAAGAAACGCTCAGTAGTCCAAAAAAGGGCAATACCTCACAGTGAGGAGAACAAACCAGGAACTATATAAAGCCTAAAACACAGGTGTAAAGCATTAGTACTCAGGTGACTGAGAACGAGGAAGCTGTTTGTGATTGGTGGATGGAGTGACATCATCAGGATTGGGATTATGGGAATTGGAGTCCTGGAGAGTATTAGACAAGGGAGGAGAACCCGGAATTGTGACAATGACCTCTTCCATTCATCCATGAGTTCCATCCATAGCTCATCTGGTTCTCTGTCAGTTATGTCCAACATTTGAAATTGGTTTCTGATATTCTTATTGAAGACAGTGGGTATGTTCTCCAACTTCACTTGGAGCTTGCATATTAGATGTTTGTGATCTGTTCCACAATATACTTCAGGCCACGTCTGTGCAATTAAAATAGAGCTTTTCCATCTCTTGGTGCAAATAACGTAGTCTATTTTGGGCCTGTGAACTCTGTCTGGTCATGTCCAGCTGTACAGACTTTGTTTTGATCGCTTAAAAATGTACTAGTAATATAAAAGTCATTGTACTTGCAGAAATTAAGTTGTTAACCTGTTTCATTCCTTTTCCAAGGCTGTGCTGTCCAATTGCATTGCATTTCCTTCCTTCCAGTATCTGACCTTAGCATTGCAGACTTCCACTTCTGTCAGCCAAGAACAGAAAGCTGAGGCTGCAGAGGGGACAGACTCACCAAAACTGGACAGTTGAAGATTTGAAAAACAGCCTACTCTTATGGATCTCGATTTCTGCTAAGGCAGACAGATGTTGGGGTTAGAATTTGGCACCAACAGCATGAATCCATGGACCCAATCTGCCTTGTGTGAACAGTTTAGAGTGGTGGAGAAGGTAAACTATGGGCTTGTTATTAGCAATCAATCATTGCGTGAATGCCACAGCCTGTTTCAGTATTGTTGCTGAGCATGTGCATCCCTTTATGACCAAAATTTACCATGAAAATGCACCATATCAGCAACATCTTGTGGAATCCATGCCATGAAGGACTGAGGCTGTTTTGAGCGCAAAGGGATGCCCTACCTGGTATTAGTGTATTGTTTCTAATAAAGTGCTCGGTGAATGTATATGAGACCACTTCAGTGTCAACATCACACAGGGTTGGGATAGCTACTGAAAAATTAGTAGTTAGCTACTTTGTAGCTACTTTTGCAAAGTTTGTAGCTGCTACAATTTAGCTACTTTTCCAGAAAAAAGTAGTGACTACTTTTTAGCTACTTTCAAAGCATGATCGTCAGAATGTTTGTGAATCTCCACCTGACACACCAAACAAGCCCAACTGACAATGTGATCAAGACACTGCATTTAATTATTTTTGAGAAAGAAACTTAACAATTAAAAAAATACAAAAGATAAGCTCTCCCAGAGAAGATACAAAAAGTAAGTTTAAGCATAAAAAGCAATCAAACTTACAAAACCAAAGGCGTGAAGTAAAGCAAAGTCAATCTTTCCAGTTTTTTTTTTTCTAAAAAAATCAACAAAATGACCTTATACAAACCAAATAATTTTGTGCATAGTATTGTCAAATGTTAAAATACAACTGCTCCAATTTAAACATTTCAGTAAGATATGTACTTGCATGACATTCAGAGTCCTTTGTTAAATTTTAGCAATACTTTAGCCTGCTGAGCTGGTCAGTGTGGTGTTGGTGCTGTTCCATGATGACAAAATCTTCATCTTTTGACTGCTCACTGGCTGCAGGTGTGGTGGGCTTCATCTTTTCCAATTCTGCCAGGAAAACACTCCTGGCTATCTCGCGGAGATCTACATCTTTGGTACAGGATAACTTGAGTCTGGGATCTGACACTGCAGCTGGCAGGCACTCTCTGTTCCTATATGAGGGCCGGAACCTCTTGGTGACCCCCTGCAGAACAGCATCTGCCTGGGGTCTGCAGAGCTCCACCCTGTCCTGCTGCATTTCCACCCTGGCCATCGGGGTCTCCAGTTGTAGCAGCAGGCTACCCAAGCCAACACACTTCTCCCCCTGGAGGAAATCCAGGCTCCTGGCCAGTGGGTCCATCACCTGTACAAATCAGGTCATGAAGGTCTGGTCACAGACAGTGAATCTGGGGAGTCCAAGTGCATTCAACAGGAAACTCTTTCAGACACTTCACTGCATCATAAATTGAGTTCCAGCGTGTAGCATTGGGCATTACCAGCTGCTTGCCTGTGGTATGCTTGATGTTCTCTGCAGCCACAACAGTCCTGGCTTGTTTGCTCCAGACAACTAAGGGCCTTGGGAAACATGGACCGGCTGGCGTGTGGGCAGCACACTGCTGGTGGGAGGGGCAGGATAGGCATGGTTGGGTCATCATCAAAGATGTCAACTGATGTGGGCATTCATCACCCTCCTCCTCACTTTGCTCAATCAGCTGACTGAACATCCTGAATGCTTTGACAAAGTTGCACCTTGTTGTGAATGCGGTACTCACACAGTATCTCATCCAGTTGTGTGGCAATGGCGTCATAGGTGTGTGGTCCTCTCATGCGCAGACATGCCAAGATGATGGACTTTCTTTCAAAGTTGTGTGCCATATAGTGGCAAGTCACGCCCAGGAATGATCTGTGGTGCACAGTCCAGCAGTCTGCTGTCACAGACATACGCCACACTTTCGGGTTCAGTCGAGTCCTTCAGCTGCTTCAGCTTTGACTCCAACCTCTCATTGGCAGTCCTTCTGCTCATTAGCTGAACATGTGACTGCCCAGTCAAATCGGCCACAAAGTACTGGAAACTGCTACTCTCCAGCAGATGGAAGGGTAGATTCTCTGCAAGCAAGAGATCAAGCACGGCCATGTTTACCTGCTCCCTCGACAGCCTGGATGAAGCAAGCTTCATCGCCTTGATGATTGTTGGTTGCTCTAGACTGGCATCCCTCTTCCTCTTATTGCCTTTGCAGGTGTCTGTCAGTTTTTTTTTTTTTCCAGGAGAAGGTGCTTCCTCTAAATGTGCAGTTTCAAATTGAAAGCCAAAATCTTGTTGCATGAAGACACTTTTCCCAAACAAGCACTCTGTTTGCACCTGACTCCATATACACATCCAAAAAATGTGGACCAGCTGGAAGGTCAGCCATATTTGTACATAACATGTTTAAATTTCAAATTACTGAGAGGAATGAGTGTGTGGCGGGTTTTCCGCATGCGCAGTACTATTACGAAAATGCTGTTCCGCTTTAGCTAAGGCTATATATATATATATATATATATATATATATATATATATATATATATATATACGGAGAAGATTGACAGCCGAGCCACGTCAGTGCTCAGAAGCGCTCGTCAAGATGCTGAAAGACAGACCAAAACTATGGCATGCAAACGCCTATTAACCAATCGTCTGCACACATAAAAATATCGTGTCCACATGTAAAAGCGTTCACAGATAAATATCTTTTTAACGATTGCAGAAGTATCACCGCTTGAAGACCATGAATACTGATGTCTACAGGTGGCAATATTTGGCGTTTCTTACTCAAGTCCTCTTTAACAAGCCGAAGTGGCAATGTGTCGCCTCTAGATGGCGATATTTTCTCACATTGTAAAGCCTGGCCTTTTTCTCTCAAAGTTGTTTATCTGTTTTGTTTTTTAAATGATTCAGAATTACAACACACAAAGCCTTGGACTGTAGTGGAAAATTGGATTACCACACCATTTGTTGCAGTCATTTAAACTGCCTTTCACAAAGCAAAAACACACTAGACATAACACAAACAGAGAGAGATGTAGAGATGATACAGGAACAGAAATAGTTTTCTCTTTTTATTTAATGATATATGATATGTGTGTGTTCTTCAGTGTGGATCATGGAGGGAAGATCAGGATGAAACCAGGACTGAAGAAGTGTAAGATGCGCGCGCGCGCACACACACACACGTACACACTACACACATTATACAGAGATACACACACAGAGTGATTGTGTCTCTAATCTGTATGTGTTTGTGTGTGTGTACAGATGCTGTTGATCTCACTCTGGATCCAAACACAGCACACAGATATCTCTCTCTGTCTGAGGGGAACAGAAAGGTGGAGTGGATGCTGGAGAATCAGCCGTATCCAGATCATCCAGACAGATTCGATTACTATGGCCAAGTTCTGAGTGTGAAGAGTCTGATTGGACGCTGTTACTGGGAGATTCAGTGGAGCGGAGATGAAGCTGGTATATCAGTATCATACAGAGGAATCAAGAGGAAAGGACACAGTGAAGACTGTCAGTTTGGATTCAGTAATCTGTCCTGGAATCTGCACTGCTCTGATTACAGATACTCTGTCAGACACAATAATCAGATAACTTACCTACCTGCCCCCCCCTCCCTCTCTAACAGAGTAGGAGTGTATCTGGACTGGGAGTCCGGCACTCTGTCCTTCTACTCCATCTCCCCTGACACACACACACTGACCCATCTACACACACTCACCACCACATTCACTGAGCCGCTCTACGCTGGGATTAGAGTTTATTCTGGCTCAGTGCGTCTGTGTAGATAGAATACCCTCTATGCAGTGTGTTTGTGTGTGTGTGTGTGTGTGTGTGTGTTTGTTAAAGAGACCAGATCATAAGAAAATCTTGCTGTTGATAAACATCTGTGTTGTTTATCAGTTTGATCTTACATTGAAAATATGACAGAAATCAAACATTTCTGTGGTTAAATTATTCAAAGTAATTTTAAAATGAAGAGTAAACATAAACTGTTTTCTTTTTAAAGAATTGTTCATTATTGTACTATTGTAGTATTCCTGGGATGACTCATCATCAACTCCTACCAGGAACAGACAATGTAAATAATTAAAAATAATCACATCCTGTGACAATGTAAAGAATAATAAACAATCATATTCTGTTATTTACTTTAAAGTAAAGTTAGACAGGCAATGAATTTATTTAAGACTGTCATCTCGGGACCACAGCTGGTAGGTGGGACCTCTGCCCTCCTACCAGGAAAGAAGCGAGGTGTTCAGCAGGCTCTACATGCTGCACTGCTGGCTCCAAAGCTGGTGTAAGAACAACTGCATCAGCTATGTGAACAACTGGAGTACTTTCTGGGAGCGTCCGGCCTTCTACCACAGGGACGGACTACACCCGAGCTGTGGGTCTGTCATCCTGTCCGAGAATATAGAGAAGGCACTGCACCAGGCCTAACTGGACTTAATGGTAGTAAACAATGGATGGGTAAGTAGTATCAACAGCAGACACGTAAGTGCTTTTTATGATATAGACAATGCCTCCTTAATTTCTACCACACTCTTCTTTCTCTGTGATCTTAATACTAAAGATATACTAAGGGAGACAGATAGTTAGGAAAACAAATTAACCAAAAGCTCGACTAAACAGGTAAGTTTTTAGCCTAGACTTAAAGATGGAGGCTGTGTCTGAGTCCCAAACACAGACTGGTAGGTTATTCCAAACCTGGGGGGCTTTGTATGAAAAGGCTCCTCCCCCTGATGTAACTTTATTTATTCTGGGTACTAATAATGAGCAGCACCTTGTGATCTAAGTGGGCGTGTCGGTTGATAATAGGAAATAAGGTCACTGAGGCACTGAGGAGCAAGGCCATTCAGAGCTTTATACGTCAGTAGAAGAATCTTGTACTCAATGCGGAATTTAACTGGCAACCAATGTAAGGTACACAAAATTGGGCTAATGTGGTCAGATTTCCTGGTTTTGCTGAGAACTCTGGCTGCAGCGTTCTGGACTAACTGAAGCTTGTTAAGGTTTTGGCTGGAACAACCAGAAAGCAGAGCGTTACAGTAATCTAACCTGGACGTGATGAAGGCGTGAACTAACGTTTCTGCATCCTGTAGCGACAGTGCATTTCTTAATTTAGCGATGTTACGCAGGTGGAGGAAAGCTATTCTGGTAATGTTGGTAATATGCTCATCGAAGGCCAGACTGGGATCAATCGTGACACCAAGACTTTTTACAGATGTGCCTGGTGCAATTGAGAAACTATCGAGATTAAGAGTAAACGTAGGCGGATTATCCCTAGTAGCTTTTGGACCAAGAAGAAGAACTTCTGTTTTGTCCGAATTTAGTAAGAGGAAGTTACTTGACATCCAGTCTTTAATGTCTTTGACACAGTCCTCTATCTTATTAAGTTCAGTTTTGTCCTCTGGTTTAGCTGAAATATATAATTGTGTATCATCGGCATAGCAGTGGAAACTGATGCCATGTTTTCTAATGATGGTACCTAGTGGTAGCATATATAAGGTAAATAACATGGGTCCTAAGACAGAGCCCTGTGGAACACCATACTTTACTCTTGTGAGAGCTGATGGTTCACCATTTACATTAACAAACTCAAAGCGATCACTAAGGTAAGATTTGAACCACGGAAGAGCTTTACCTGTCACTCCTACTAGTTTCTCAAGCCTGTCTAATAGAATGTAATGGTCTATTGTGTCAAAAGCTGCACTAAGATCGAGTAAAACCAGTAAGGATATGTTTCCTTTGTCAGCGGATAATAAAAGATCATTGACAATTTTCACTAACGCTGTTTCAGTACTATGGTGAGGCCTGAAGCCAGACTGAAATTTTTCATGTATATTACTTCTATGCAGATGGGAACATAATTGTTTTGCCACGGCTTTCTCTAAAGTTTTTGATAAAAAGGGAAGATTTGAAATAGGTCTATAGTTTGATAGCTCAGAGGGGTCAAGACTAGGTTTGTTAATTAGGGGTTTAATTACACCTAATTTAAGAGATTTTGGAACATACCCGAGGCTGAGAGAAGAGTTTATTATAATTAGAAAGGGCTTAGTTATTTCTGGTAAAATGTCTTTAAGTAAACCTGTAGGAATTGTAATCATGCACTTACCGCCCAATCAAAAGCAGAGAAGCGATATGATCGTGCCCATTTTTTTTCGTTGGTGAAGAATGCAGAGCAGAAGGCAAGGAAATCAACAGGAAAAGTAAAGCTAATTTGTTCTGTTACAATTATGAAACATGATATTTATTTTGCTAGCTTGCTAGTAGCAGGAGGGACATGCTTTTTGAAAAGTAAGCACAAACATTTTTGCACACTTGAGCAAGTGACAGGGTCCAAAATTAAAATTTTGGCCTTTCTGCTAATGGTAAACTGAAAAAATACCATCCAAAATATTTCAACGTTAGAATGGTGTAAGAAGTTACGACATCATTAACAAGACAGAAGCCTAATTTTTCCAGACCACCATCGGCTGCATAGCATTTCCAAACAGCTCAAGCTTTCTTCCTCTTCTGAAGCCCACTGCTGCCAGAGAGACCCATATGTTAGAACAAAGCTCAAGCAATTTCTCATTCACCAGCTTGTTTCATATTCCCACTCCACCTTAAATCAGAGTTTCTCAATCCTGGTCCTGGAGGCACCATGCCCTCCAGGATTGAGAAACACTGCAGAAAGGTGGAGTGGGAAAATTCGAACAAGAAGCTGGCAAAGAACTTCAGTCTCATCATGTTAGACGTCTTAATATTTTTTCCTCAAATAGACCACAGAGTCACAAAATGAGAATAGAATTCAGAACCAACTGTGTTTTGCACACAGAGGAATTAGACCTCCACATTTAACCCATCCGTGCAGTGAAACACCCACATATATGCACACTAGTGAACACACACACACTAGGGGGCAGTGAGCACACTTGCCCGGAGCAGTGGGCAGCCCTATCCATGGCGCCCGGGGAGCAGTTGGGGGTTGGGTGCCTTGCTCAAGGGCACTTCAGTCACGTACTATGGGCCAAGGTGATCGAACCAACAAGGCTGGTTCCCTAACCTCCAGCCCATGACTGCCCTCTAAAATGGATTTGCCTATTAAGCTAGCATCAAGCTAACCTGGGTCACTTTCAGCTGTTTTTCCATTTAACTGACTGTGGATGTCAGTGGGGGGAGAACCAGGAACATTTGATATTTGTGTTTATTGTGCATGCAGCATCTGTCTCTGTCTCTCCTCTGCTCTCTGTGGTGTTTCAGGACAGCGCTCAGCATGTCTACACAGACAGCGGACAGCAGGGCAGAGAAGACGACATCAGGTCGAGTGATATTACTCAAGTTAACAACAACTTTACTTATTCTTTATGCACAGTAAAACTTTGCAAGAAAAGGAAAAAAAGTTGTTTTAATGTGTTTTGGCGCCCACAAAGTTTAATCTGTGTCCTTATTTATCATATAGGGACAACAGTGCTCCTAAAATATCATCTATTTAAGTGTAGGAACTCTGTCTTTGGGACTTGACTACAGAAATTATCCACCCTTGGAAATAAAACTTCTTTTGTGCATCATGTATATCATTAGAATGTACATCATTTATGTGGAATAGTATCTGAGTTTATCAGTTGGCTACAATTTTCATCCAGTTGGCTGCTCTCCCTTTCAAAAAAGAAGTTTTTTCAAGTGTGCTATTAGTATACTTATTTTCAACTAAAATAAATGAGTACGCTTTCAGTTTACTTTTTATGTACTTATTAATGATATACTAAACACAATCATACTTAAGTATACTTGGCTTATATTTACTTATACTGACAAATATACTGAAAAGTCTTAGTAAATTTGGCCTATACTTGTACTTAATCTTTTGATTGAGATATACTTAGGAATAGTATGGTTAAGTATTCTTGCTTTATAAAGTTTAAATATATTTGGCTTGTATTTTGGAATGGAATAGCTTAGAGTAAATAGTACATGGGTGGAACTGAACCTGATCTTCTATGTTCACTGTTATTAACCAACACAAATGAATACAGAAACAGATTTTTTAGTGCCATTCATGTCGATTTGGCAAAGGTGTAATGTATAATCTGTCAACTGTTTCAGCAACAACACATTTCATTGTTATCATATCTGGCCATATAGCACTGACGTTTCCAGCCTTCCTCACCTCATGTACGAAAGTACTCTGTACATTTATTTGTAAGTCTTTACATAAAGGTCTGCTAGATTTAGCAAGTACCTCAACTAAAATGCAGCAATGTTTGGTACATGCACAATATGCAGGGCTATGATATGCACACATTTGCTTAAAAATTACTAAGTTAATATAACACAATGTACCACCTTTCAAGTATACAGCACTGTTGTGTCATTTCTTTAGTCTGTCATATTTTTGACTGTGATACAAAACTCCATCAACCAAAAAACAGTTGTAAGACCAGAAGCAGTTCCTTAGATTTCCACATAACTTGGCAATGACAAGCCTATATGAAGTTGTGATATTTTCTCACAACTGGGGAAGCCCAAAACCCTTCACACTTTCATTTAGTATTTCACATTTTTCTGTTCTGTGCTTATTAAAATAAAGCTCTTCAACAAATGACTGAACCTTTGCGCTTGTGATAATATGTGTGGCCTTTTCTGGCAATTCTTTCCACAACAGAAATTTTCTAGCTAGCTTTCTAGCTACCTAAAGGAACAAATGGTTCTGAAATCTGGAAGGGAGTATGACTTTCAAGACAGGCAGAGCATAGAAGAGAAGAAATGCTCACCACTCTGAAGCTTTCCAGAACTTCCTTTCACTCATTGACCTTGGTGTCCTGGTTATCTCAACAGGAGGTTTTATAGTTGCAAATCAACCTTTTCAAACTGTTTGCCATGGTACCAGGGGGCTTCATTGTTTCATGTATCAAACCACAGTGTGGACAGTTGCCGAGTGACTCTAAGACACACATTGTATTGATATTCAGGAATGAAACCATTTATCATTTGGAAGTGACTGAGCTTCATTAAAGGAGATGGCCCTTTGACTCCAAATACTGGCTCATTATCTCAAGCTGACATTGCATGACTGAAATGATCTCTTTCATTACGAAATGGGGGGTCGATTGTATGGATAGGATTA